TGGGATAGCATCAAACTAAAAAGCTTCTGCATAGCAAAAGAAAAGCATGAAGAGAGAACCTATAAAATGGGAAAAAAATCTTTGTCAGCTACTCTTCTGACAGAGGATTAGTGTCCAAAATATATAAAGAACTCAAAAAACTTAATATTAAAAAAGCCAAAACCCCAACCAATAAATGAGCAAATGAACTAAATAGACATTTCTCAAAAGAAGAAATTCAGATGACCAACAAATATATAAAAAATTTTCACATCTTTAGCAATCAGTGAAATATGAGTCAAAACTACACTAATGTTTCAGCTCCAGTTAGAATGGTAATTATCAAGAGTACAAAGAATAATTAATGTTAGCAAGGATGTAGGGGAAAAGGAGCACTTTTCAACTGTTAGTAGGATTGTAAATCAGTACAACCACTATGGAAATCAATATGGAGTTTTCTCAAAAGACTAGGAATGGAACTGCCATATGACCCTGCTATGCCACTCCTCAGTATTTATCCAAAATAATTAAAGTAAGCATACTTTAGAGATGAGCATACCCATGTTGATAGCAGTGCAATTCACAATAGCCAAATTATGGGACTAGCCTAGATGTCTGTTAACAGATGAATGGATAAAGAATATGTATGTTATATATACACAGTGGAGATTTATTTAGCCACAAAGGAGAATGAACTTATGTCATTTGCAGGAGAATGGATGGAACTGGAGAGTATCATATTAAGCGAAGTGAGCCAGAATCTGAAAGTCAAAGGTCATATGTTTCTTCTCATATGTGGAAGCTAGAGAGGAAAAGTTAAAAAAAAGGAATCTCATGAAAATAGAAGGGAGACCAGTAGAGTAGAGGAATGGGGTCATGAGGATGGAAAGAAGAGTTATTGGGAAATGAAATTGATCAAATTATGTTATGTGACAAATATGTCACAATGAATCCCACTATTATTTGTAATTATAATGTACCAATAAAAAATTTCAAAAAGACTTGGAAACCAACCTGGACAGAAGATGCTAAACCAAGTGTATGGGTTAGAATTATCAACTGGGTATGCATTCAATGTGCTACATGTATTTTACCCTTGCCCTGTTTATATATAACCCCCAGTAGGTTTTTTCTTTTTCTTTTCTTTTTTTTTGTGGTGCCAGGGATCAAACTCAGGGCCTTGTGCATGCAAGGCAAGCATTCTACCAACTGAACTGTATCCCTAGACCCCCAGAAGGTTTTTATGAAAGTTTACATTTGAGATAAATTGTTTAATAGATTGAAGATTTGGAATTTTGGAGTTTTAATATATCAGCAAGCCATTTAATTTCCTTTACTCTATTGGAATCTCCCTATCTGTAAAACAGGCATGAAATTATCTTATCACAGGCTGCTTCATAAATAAAATGAGATAAATAACCACTAATAAATAACCGTTATAGCTTATGTTTATTGAAAACTTTCTGTGTGCCAGGTACTGTTATAAGGATGTCACCTATACTTGTTCACTTAATCCTCAGAGGTTCTGTTTTCTCTATTTTATGGTTAAGAAACTGAGATCGAAGATATGGAAACTCTTTGAAAATTCTAAAATATATTAAATATTATTAAATAAAAATCAGATATTATTATTGTTATTATTATTATTATTAGGCTTTATGTTTTAGAGATGTTTTAGGTTCATAGAGCGGGAGGTACAGAGTTGCCATATATTCCCTGCCCCACCACTCACATAGCCTCCACCATTGTCAACATCCCCCCAGCAGAATGGTACATGTTACAGTTGACTAACACATTGACACATCATTGTCACCCCAAATTCATAGTTTACATTAGGATTCACTCTTGGCCTTATACATTCTATGAGTTTGGACACATGTATAACAGTATGTTTTTACCATTATGGTATCATTTATAGTGTTATCGTCAGGGTGTCCAGTTAGGGTCCCGGTCCTTGGTGTCCTGAACAAAGACTTGAGCAAGACACACACACAAGTAACAGGCAAAATACAGATTTATTGAAGGTGAAAATAAGAGTAGTACTCCATTAGGTAGAGCAGAGTGAGCCAAGCAAGGGAGAAGAGCTCAAGGCCCAAATCTCTGGAAATTAGTGTCTTATATGCTGAGCTGTGAGGTGTTCTCTCCCCTATACAGACCTGGTGGAAGACCTTACCCCACTTGCTCCCATTAGTTATCTTATGATACCTGATTAGAATATTGTCCAATTTCCCCTCATTGGTTACTTCAGAAAACTGAATTAGAATACTTCCCACTTTACTCCCATTGGTCATTTTAAAATACTGAATATATGGTAGGAGTTGTCATGATAATGGGATTTATTGTAAACAGAGACAGGACTTGGCTCCTTGTTCTCTAGTGGCTTTTCTAATACTGTGTCTGCCATCTTGGTGTCCCTGAACTCTTTTTTTTAAAAAATATTTTTTAGTTGTAGATGAACACAATACCTTTATTTTATTCATTTATTTATATGTGGTTCTGGGGATTGAACCCAGTGCCTCACACATGCTAGGCAAGTGCTCTACCAATGAGCACAACCCCAGCCCCCTGAACTATAAATAAAACTGCCTGTTTTAGTCAGAATTTTTGTTACCATGACCAAAAGACCTACAAGAACACTTTTAAGGAGGGAAAGTCTATCTGGGGGTTCACAGTTTCAGAGGTCTCACTCCATAGATAGTTGGCTCCATTCCCTGGGGCTCCAGGTGAGGCAAAACATCATGTGGAAGAAAATGGCAGAGGGAAGCATCTCACATGATGATCAGGAAGCAGAGAGAGAGCTCTACTCAACAAAGATGCCCCCAATGCTCACCTCCTCCAGCTGCATCCTACCATCCTTCATTTACCACTCAGTTAATCCTTGTCAGGGAATTAATTCACTGATTGGGTTAAGTCTCTGTAACCCAATCATTTCACCTTGAAACTTTCTTGCATTTTCTCACACATGAGCTTTTGGGGACACCTAATAACTAAACCATAACACACCCTAAAAATCCGCCATGCTGAGCGTGATCATACCTTCCTCCCCTTTACCCCTGGTGACCACTAATATTTTTACTGTCTCCCTAGTTATCTTTTCTAGAATGTTATATAGTTGAAATTATACAGTATATGGCTTCTTTCTCTTTATTATATGCACTTAAGTTTCCTCCTTGTCTTTTCAGTAGCTTTGTGGCTCATTTCTTTTTAGAGCTGTGTGATATTCCATATTCCATTGTTTAGATGTAACAAAGTTGTTTTTTTTTTTTTTTTTAGGAGCTGAGGTTGTGGCTCAGTGGCAGAGTGTTTGCCTAGCATGTGTGAGGCACTGAGTTTGATTCTCAGCACCACATATAAATAAATGAATAAAATAAAGGTCCATCAACAACTAAAAATATATATTTTAAAAAAGTGTTTTTTTTTAAATCCACTTAACCTACCAAAGAACATCTTGGTTGCTCCCAGGTTTGCACAATTATGAATAAAGCTCCCATAACTATTGAGTACAGATTTTGTGTGGACATATGTTTTTACCTTCTTTGGGTAAATAAAGGAATATTGCTAGATTGCATGGCAACAGTATGTTTGGTTTTGTAAAAGATAGCAAATTGTCTTCAAAATTGTCTATACCATTTTCCATTCCCACCATCAATAAGTGATTTTCTGTTGCTCTACATCTTTTTAAATATGTATATTAAATATAAATATTAAAATTAGTTGTAGATGGACATATTATCTTTATTTTTTATTTATTTTTATGTGGTGCTGAGGATTGAACCCAGTGCCTCACATGTGCGAAGAATATGCTCTGCCACTGAGCCACAACCCTAGCCCCTGCTCTTCACCAGCATTTGGTGTGATCAATGTTTTAGCAATTTAATAGGTGTTAATGGCATCTCATTGTTGTTTTAATTTACATTTCCTGGATGATTTATGATGTATGTGGAGTATCTTTTTATGTGTGTTTTTCCATTTGTATATTTTCTTTGAGGAAATGTCTATTAAGACCTTTGGTCCATTCTATAATCAGATTATTCTCTTATTGTTGAGTTTTAAGTGTTCTTCATATATTTTGGATAACAATTCTTTATCTTTTGCAAATATTTTCTCCCAATCTGTGACTTGTCTTTTATATTCTCTTGATAGTATTTTTTTACAGAGCAGAAGTTTTAAGTTTTAATGAAGTCCAGCTTATCAGTTATTGCTCTAATGGATCATGCCTGCATTGCATTCAAAAGTCATCGTCATATTCAAGGTCACATGGATGTACAATTGTTCCAGCAAAAATTTGCTGAAAAGACTACCTTTGCTCCATTGTATTGTCTTTGCTCCTTTTCCAAAAATCAGTTGAATATGTTTATGTGGGTCTATTTCTGGAGTCTCTGTTTTGTTCCATCGATCTATTTGTCTGTTCTTTTGCCAGTGCCATATCTTGATTACTGTAGCCTTACCAAAGTCTTGAAGTCAGATAGTGTCAGTTCTTCAACTTTGTTCCTCTCCATTAATATTGAATTGACTAATCTGGGTCTTTTGCCTCTCTGTGTAAACTTTACAATCAGTTATTATCCATAAAATAACTTTCTGGGATTTTGATTGGAATTGCACTGAATTTATAGATCAAGTTGGAAAGAACTGATATCTTGAGTTTTCCTTTCCATGGACCACGTATTTAGTTTTTTGATATCTTTCATCAGAGTTTTGCAGTTTTCCTCATATAGATCTTGTACACATTTGATAGATCTCTACTTAAATCTTTCATTATTTTGGATGCTAATATATATGGTATCGTGTTTTAAATACCAAGTTCTGCTTGTTCATTGGTGGCATGTAAGAAAACTATTGACTTTTTTGTATTAACCTTGTATCCTGCATCCCTTCTGGGATTGCTTCTTAGTTCCATGAGTTGTAAGATATTATTTTAATTCTACCCATAGTATAGACCTAAGTCCAGCAAAGCACCATTTTGTAATACAAATCTGTGTTTTGCTCCATTTGTATCAAAATTTTCTCTTTTGCCCTTTAAGGTGAACTGAGGATACCATGACAGTCACAGTGGTATATGATAACTCTGAGGCAACAGAGCTCTGTGCGGCTCAGCACCTCTACCTCAAGCCCATAGCAAAATTGATGATCAGTGTATTGCTCCCAGAAAGTATGGATCCTGTGAGGCCCTTCTCTAACTGGGAAGTTCTTGACCAGCTAAAGAGCCTCATTTGCCCTGACCAGTTCACCACAGTTCGGCTCTCCAAGAGTACAAAAGACTTTATCCGATTTGAGGGTGAGGCTGAAACCAGAAGTTTGGTTCAAATCTTAAAGGCAAAGTTACATGGAAAGATCATCAAGCTAAATGGTTTGAAAACAGACTTAAAAGTAGTGGCTACAGATGCCTTGGGAGAGTGGGAACACTTCCCCAGGGAAAAAGAAGCTTCACTGAGTGATGGGGCTGAAGAGCAGGACCACGATAAGAGCCCAGATTCCATATATTTTGAAGGCTTGCCCTGTAAATGGTTTGCACCAAAAGGTTCCAGTGGGGAGAAGCCATGTGAAGAGATTGTTCGGGTAGTCTTTGAAAGTTTCGGGAAGATCAAGAATGTGGATATCCCTATGCTTGACCCCTACAGAGAAGTGATGACTGGTGGGAGCTTTGGGGGGTTTAGCTTTGGCTTGCAGACATTTGAGGCCTTTATACAGTACCAGGAGTCAACGGACTTTATTAAAGCCATGGAGTCCCTTCGAGGGATGAAGCTGATGCTTAAAGGCGATGATGGGAAAGCTCTGGCATGTAACATTAAGGTAAGAAGTAGCCAGATTTTCTTTTATTTCCCACTTTTCAGGTGATCCTGAGTCAAAGCTGGAAGGAAGCATCTAGAATAAATTTCCTTAGATTCCACCAGGCTCTGATTAATAACTCAGGTAAAGACTTATGTTGTCATTAAGCAATGGATGTCTAGGGAGAAAAATAATCTTGATTTGAACACTCCTTCTACTCTCAGGCATGATGGTTGTTATAATCTGGGGTTCTGCTGCAGCTTCTTGAGGGCATTAAAAGATTATTTGTGGCTCCTATGAACTATCTCATATTCTGTTGTGTTAGGTTGCTGAGAGAGAGGGACACATGCAGTTTAAAACCATAAGGAGAACAGTTTATTCCCTTATTATTCTGGGAGTCACAGCGTATATTTTCAGCATGTCTGTCAGGTAAACTGATAAAACATAATCCTACCAGATTTGGATCTTTTACTTTCAAAATCAGCTGTCTATCCAGTCATGTCATCTCATTGATGTCTGTATGCTTTGGTCATCTACTTTTGGAAATCTTAACCCAGCAGTGGAAAAGAGATAACCATACGCTCCTTTTTCTCTAAATCAGTCATTAGCGTTAGCATGAATTTGCACTTTTAGCTTTGTGTGTGTGAGGGGGTGTGTGTGTGTGATCATGTGTGAGCACTTTTGTTAAAATGCATATTTTAAAATTATGAGCTATTCAGTAAGATAAAAGACATACCAAAAATTATAATGACTACTCATATACTATTGCTCAGCTTATAAAATAAACCATTACTAGTATGATGAAAGAGCACTTCCCTTCTATGTACCCACCCTCAATCATATTCTCCTTTCTCCCCTCAAAGGTAACCATGGTCTTGAATTTGTTGTTTTTCATTATCATATAGATTTAAATAGCTCTCTCTAGCTGCTTTTACATTTTTAAGCAAATCTGTTTATCTCAGTCTGACTTTCACTTTATTTATGATTTGAAAAGTAGTTTAATAATCATGGTAGTCATATTTCACATCACATTGTTCAGTTTTCTTGTAGTTTTTCTCTGTCCCCACCCCCATTTCCCATTAAGCTAACTGACTATTTTTTTATTCCTGATCATTTACATAAATACAGTAATTCAGTTGATTTTTAAAACAAACCAGAGGTAATATACTCACATTTCTAGAGTGTGCTGATGTTGGTGCTGTGATGCTGCCCATGACCATGTCAGCCAAACTCTTCAAGGGTTTTTTTTACATCTTTATTGAAATATATTTGACATATTAAATTGTAAAAGGTCAAGTAATGTTTGATATAATTATGCAAGGGTTCTACTAAAGAAAATCTGAGTGTTCACAAGTACTTTTCAGCTGGTAACTGAGAAGCAGTGGAACAATATGGGCACTGGGATGCAGAGAGGATATTTTGAATTCATTTGGTTTCAAATTGCCATGTACCATCTTTTTTTTTTAATCTCTCTGGCCTGGGTCACATCCAGTCAACTGACAAATCTTTCTAATAAAACTTTAAACTGTTTGGAGGCAGGTTATGTTTGATACAACCAAACACTTCAGTGAAGGAGCTGTAAAGAGGAGAAATCAGGAAAGGCTAAAATTACAAGAACTGGAGGAAGAAAGGAAAAAAGAAAAGAGAAGAGAAGAGGAGGTGGCTGAAAGGTGAGTAGACTGATTTTAGGTAAGGAGGGTTTTTCTATTGATTTGTAGATTGATTCCTTTGGGTGAATAGCTAAACATGATAGATAACATTGAGGTGGGGGACAGATATTGGTATAGACTGCAAAACTCTACTGAAGGTTAAAGTCTTTAAATTGTGCTGTAATGAAACCAAAATGATGAAACAGTTGAAAACAAGAGACTGGAAAAATATGTCTATAAATGAGAATAAGCAATAAGGAATTATGGGACTAGCCAGATTAAGATGCCTGGAAAGAAATTATTTTTAAAAGAAGGCTCAGGGAGTCTTATAGTAAAAATTCTAACCTAGCAAATTAGAAATTTGAGTAATTTACCTATTATCTACCAATATTACTTACCAATTTAAAATGATGAATAGGTTTATAAAAGATTTTATTCTGCAAACTGGTCAACAAACCATAGGTACTGTACTCACATTTATCAGAGTAACCCATAGGCAAGAAAGTCACAGATTTGTTGGGGCCGTTTTTCTTGTTGGCTTAAATTCTTTCTGTGAATTTATGGAGCTTCCACATTTATTTCTTTGAGCTTATCGTTTTCCAATTTAGAGGCTTAAACCTAGAATGGGGTACTGGATTTCCAAAGGTTTGTCAAGGAGGTGCAGATGGGCTAGAAATATAGGGCTCTGAAAACCAGTTTTACCTCCTGGCCCCTCCTCTTGAATGTAAATTATAACATTCATAAAAGGAGCTAACAGTACCCTTCCATGTGCCCCTCACTTTTTGTCTTGTGGGGTGATAGGAGTTACTTGAGATCACAGCTAGGGAACTAGAACCCAGTCAAGATATGGTTCTCCTCCAAATTCCAGGTTGAATATCCCATTTAGACAGTCCTTTGTCACTTGGCTAAGTCCTGACTTCAGGTAGTTGCTCTTTCTTTCTCCTTCCCACATTCTCATAGGGACCTAACTGAATTAATTTTAATTTTCTGAAAAAGGCATTAAAAACCATATTCTCCCAAGCCAGTGTGTTTTTACAATAGTGTTTATGCTAAGTAATAGGGGCCAGGAATCAGTTTTCATCTTGAAGATTTTCTTAGTGCCTTGTCTTATCTTTAACTGCCTATGTGAAACCAACCCACAGAATATTTTAATCTCAAGAAAAATGAAATCACTTTGAAAGCTGGGTCCTGTTGTCATTGCTTATGGTTTGACAGTGTGGAGGATGGAGCCCCTCTTTTGAAATCTGCAGCTTTCTTCTTCCTCTTTCTCTTCTTCCTCCTCTTCTTTTGATAGTCTATCTTTGCATAAGATTTCCTTTACATGCTTGTATCTGACCAACTAAATCATGTATCTTTCTCCCTTGACCGATGCTTAACAGTAATTTTATTTGTGTGTGTGTGTGTGTGTGTGTATGTGTGTTTGTCATGAGTTGTCTGTGCTAGGTTTTGGGTTAACAGTGGGATATTCCTGGAAACCTAAATGATCTGTCCTCCCCTGACAGGGGAAGGAGGAAAGAGGAGGCCAAATGTCTAATAAATACCTTTTGAATGGTTTGATGTTAATCTTTGTCCAGAAAAAGAAAAGATGAGGAGAGGAGAGCCCACGAAAAGAGGAAGAAGGCCAGGACCAGGAGGCGAGCCCTGAAGGAGAGGGACAGCCACAGGTCAAGGAAGCAGAAGGTGAAGGCCAAAGCTGAGGCACCTGAGGAGCCAGACTCTCCAGAAGAATGGCAGGAGAGGAAGCACCTGCTGGCTCAGAGGAGAGTTGAGGCCCTTCGATTGCTACGGGTACTCCTGAGGAAAATCTCGGTAGGGCTATTTCCAAATTGTTATTCAGTTTGGGTAGGTATTAACCTTTCTGAGCTCCAGCCTTTTCATTTAAGCACTGGCTTATTGAAAATCAACTCATGGAAGACTCATAGCATTCACTGGGGTTGCTTGGAAATCAACTGATCTCTAATAACCCTAACTGGGAATTTCCAAAAGGGATATCTACATTCTCTAAATGAGTGGTCTCAACTCTGCCATCCTATACATATACTTTATATTTCTAAACTTCAGGACTGTATTACCCAGAGCATTTAGCTAGTTTATTGATTTTTTTCTGAAACAGAAAAATGCAAGGGGAAGCAATGGGTAGGTGTGGGTGTTAGGTTGCTGTCTTCTATTAACTTTACTTGTCAATTCATCTGTGACATGTTTGGATGTGAAGGGAGAGCCTGTAGCAAGCTTATGTTAGTCCAGTCTTGAACTGTTTGCTGAAGAATTTCTTATCTCACAGAGCATTTGTTTTGTTTGGAGAGTTTCATTTTTGGAAGGTGTTTCTTTCCCTTTCTGGGTTCCTTTTTTATTATTTTATTGTTTATTAACATTTTTTATTTTGCAAATAATATATATATATATATATATATATATATATATATATATATAAATGTTATACATTTATATAAAATATATATACCTAACAATCTCTCAGGTATCCCATTATGGTTTTAATGTGATATTTCTTTTTTATAAATATTTTTGTAGTTGTAGATGGACACAATACCTTTATTATTTATTTATTTATTTTTATGTGGTGCTCAGGATTGAACTCAGTGCCTCACACATTCGAGGCAAGCGTTCTGCCACTGAGCCACAATCCCAACCCCTTAATGTGAAAGTTCTAACAACAAATAATACTGGGTATTTTTTCATATGCTTATTTTCCATTTGATTATCCTTTTTAATGAAATACCTGTTTATTTTTTATTGATCTTTTTAAAAATAAATAATACTGAAATGTATTACAATTCTTATTACACATATACAGCACAATTTTTCATATCTCTGGTTGTATATAAAGTATGTTCACACCAATTTGTGTCTTCATACATGTACTTTGGATAATGATGTCCATCATATTCCACCATCCTTGCTAATCCCCTGTCCCCTCCCTTTCTCTCCTACCCCTCTTCCCTATCTAGAATTCATCTATTCCTCCCATGCTCTCCCTCTCTACCCCGCTATGACTCAGCCTCCTTATATCAGAGAAAACATTCAGCATTTGTTTTTTGGGGATTGGCTAACTTCACTTAGCATTATCTTCTCCAGTGTCATCATTTACCTGCAAATGCCATGATTTTATTCTCTTTTATTGCTGAGTAAAATTCCATTGTGTATATATGCCACATTTTTTATCCATTCATCTACTGAATGGCATCTAGGTTGTTTCCCCAGTTTAGCTATTGTGAATTGTGCTGCTATAAACATTGATGTGTCTGTGTCCCTGTAGGATGCTGTTTTTAAGTCTTTTGGGTATAGACTGAGTAGAGGGATAGCTGGGTCAAATGGTGGTTCCATTCCCAGATTTCCAAGGAATCTCCATACTGCTTTCCATATTGGCTGCACCAATTTGCAGTCCCACCAGCAATGTATGAGAGTCCTTTCTGGGTTCCTAAAGACAGTCAGACTCAGCACAAGCCCTGGATTCAAACCCAGAAATACTTCCAAAGTATTAACTTAAAAATCCACATTTATGGGCTGGGTTTGTGGCTCAGAGGTAGACCACTTGCCTAGCATGCGTGAGGCACTGGGTTTGATTCTCAGCACCACAAAATAAATAAAGTATTGTGCCCATCTACAACTAAAATTATATTTTTTAAAAAATCCATATTTAGGTGAGCATGGTGGCACATGCCTGTAATCTTAGAAAATCAGGATTTTGAGGCAAGAGGATTTCAAGTGAGAGGCCAGCCTGAGCAACTTAGCAAGATCCTGTTTCAAAATAAAAAAGGGCCAGGTGTGGTGGTGCATGCCTATAATCCCAGTGACTTGGGAGGCTGAGGCAGGAGGATCACCAAGTTCAAAGCCATCCTCAGCAGCTTAATGAGGCCTTGAGCAACTCAGCCAGACCCTGTCTCTAAATAAAATATAAAAAAGGGGTTGGGGATGTGGCTCACTGGTTAAGCGCCCCTGGGTTCTATCCTCATGACCAAAAAAATAAATTAAAAAAAAATAAAAAAGGATTTGAGATGTAAAGAGCTCCTGGGCAGTACCAAAATTTTTTTTAAAAAAATCCATATTTAGCATTTGTAAATATGAAGAGAGAATGTCATTACATAGAATTAATTTTATGTCTATTTGCCATCTTGGCCTTTCTCATTAGTATGGACAGCCAAACTTAGTGAAATCAGGACCAGAAAAATCTCACATTTACATGTATAACAAGGTTTGCTGCATTTTTTGTTTAACTTAATAATTGAGGGTTACTCCTTTTTTTAAAAAAATGTGTCTTTTTAAGTGGGTATAGTGTCTAATTCTGAGTCCCATTACTATTTGTACCAATTATGTGGCCCTCTGGTTTTAATCCCAGATAATGGGCAGGTACTGTACCCTGATGTATGATAGGTGAGTGGGAGCACAGTACAAACCCTTGTTGGATGGCAGTGTGGGCAGCACCTTTCACCTGCTTTGTAGTTATATAGAACAGATAGCATTAAGATACAATAGTAGGTAGACCCATGGTCATAACCATGTTTGCTACTTAAAGCTTTTTATTTATTTTTTATTGTTTTTTTTTTTTCGTGATGCCAATGATAGAACCTAGGGCCTCACACATACTAGGCAATTGCATCACCACTTTCCTAGCCCTCATGGGCTTGCTTTTTAATGAAGCAAGTGAGGTAGGGCAACTCAGAGATACCCTCCATAGTAAGAGGCTGGGATATAAAACAGAGATTGTTTATCTTTGAAGCCAGTTGATTCTTGGACACATATTTCACCCATCAGTCATTTCTTATGCTAGGACATTTCTGGGAAGGCTATAAAATGTTTCTTATTTCTCTTTGTCTCTCCAGCTCCTATTATGATACCTAGAATAGTAGGTTCATCGATTTTTGAACAAGTGGAAAAAAGGGTTATGTGCTTTGAAAGCGATGTAAAGTGTGGTACCTTGTGATAAAAGGAAGGGCACATACCTAATTAAAGTAGCTCATATTAGATAAAGATATTTATTTTACTACTTCCCATTTCTTCAGTGCAATATTGTTCCTAATTTGGATCTATCCCAGGTATTAGAAATATCTTTGGAATAATGTTAAAAGAGCCCAGTTTTCTTTGGAATTTTTTCCATCTATTTAGTTTCTCATATGAGATTTTTAATCTTTTCCTTTGAAGGGATCTACACAATTTAACCCACAGGAGGTTGACATTACAGGACCCGAAGCTATTTATACTCCAGGGAACACATTGGAAATTCTGGAGGAAGAAGAATTCAACACTCAGCATCTTCCAAATCAAGAAGAAATGCCAAAATATCAGGTTGCCAAGTCAGATAATAAACAAACACAAAAAATAAAGAAACGAAATAGGGCTCGCTTACGTCAATTTTCTCACTGCCTTCGGGGAAAAAAGTTAAGATACTCAACTAGAAGAGAGAGGACTGCAAAATTATTAACTGATGGATACAGATTGGTCTCTGGCCAGAATTCCTTGAAAACTACAATGATCCAAGGTCAGTCTCTTGAAAAAGAAGACCACCACAGTTCTAATAAATCCTATTCTTCAAGATTCTCTGAGAGAGACCATGGCAGGAAAGAGAAGATCTATGAAACAGATGAATTTATTAACTATATATTAAACTATTATCAGACTCCAAAATATGCCCGGATCTGTCTACAACCAAGTCACACAACAAGCACATATCAGTGGCACAGGGACGTTCATGCTAAGGGAAATGGATTTGAGATCAATTTGAGAAAACGCATGCCTGACTCAATCATTTGGAGTCAAATCGAAAACATTGAAAGGAGAGAACAGGTTCAGGAAGATGATTACTGCTCAAAGGTATGTACTCAGGATCCTCAGGATAAACCACAAAACAGGGGGAAAGTGGATTATACCAAAGAGTGCTCTAAGAGATTTAAAAATGATTGCAAGGATACAGCCAGTGAGACTGGTGATCAGCTGTCCCCAACTGATGGTAAAAGCCATCTCTTAGATGACCAGGTCCAAGATTCCAAATCCCAAAGGAAAAGTCAAGATTCTTCCCCCTCCAGCTCAGTAGGCTTAGATGTGCATTTGACAGATTTCTTAGAGGAAATTAGTAGTGATTCTGAATGCTTCAGTGAAACTCTTAGCATAAACGAACAGGAGAAACAGAAATCTGTGACCACATATCATGGTTCTCCTGAAAAAGGAAATCTTGATGCAGATGAAATCATTACCTGTGAAAGAAAAACTAGGTCAAGTCAGCAGACTTCATATTCAGAGTGGAAACGTGATGGTGAGGAAAAATACTCCAAATACAAGCTTAAGACACCAGGCAAGAGGTCTAGGAATGAACCGAGATGTTCATGGCTTGAGGATGAAAGCAATTCCATTAATGATGAGAAGAACAGCAGCAAAAAGAGGAGAAAAATGGCCGCCAACTACTTGTTTGATGAAGGCTACTACCATGAGTCCAGTTCCAGTGATCAATTAGAGGACAACACAAAGAAGAGGAGGGTTAGTAGGAGTGCACTGGACCAGAATTTGAACTATAGAACCTCACATGTGCCAATAACATCAAAAAGTGCTAATGCTTTCTATTTGGGATATTTTCCCAAAAGAAGAATGAGTCCTTGGAAGGCAGACTATAACCAGGATGCAAGAAGGCTTAAAAGACATGAGAATTCTAAAGATCTCATATTCAGTTCTGATAATCATCATGTTAGACATAATAGTCAGGAGCACATTGACTATGGAAGCTATTTAGCAAACAACTACACTAGTTCTTTATATTTTCAAATGTTCTGATGGCTACTTTGATCAGGAACACTCTTATTTATAATAAATGATTTGGAAATAAGAAAATTTAAAACCAAATATAACTATGTAGTTAGTAACTACACAGCAAGAGCTTGAGCAGGGTCAAATGCAAAACCTTGTTTCTCTTTCCAAAGTGTAAAACATAGATCAAAATGACCGCAGGTGTGTTGGCAAGCTTTGGAAATATAAAACCTCTGGATCATGAAGCTTGATAAAGCAATGTGCTTGCAAAGCTTCATGATTTAAATATTTCTTTCTTTCTTTTTCTTTCTTTCTTTTTTTTTTTTTTTTTTTTTTTTTGGTACTGGGGATTGAATCCAGGGGTTCTCTACCACTGAGCTATATCCCCAGATCCTTTTATTTTTGACTTTGAGACAGGGTATCAGTAAGTTGCTGAGGCTGGCCTCGAACTTGAGATCCTCCTGTCTCAGCCTCCTGAGTTGCTGGGATTATAGGTGTGTATAACTGCACCTGGCCAGGACAGACTTTTTTTTAATACCTTTAATTTGGTGCCAGTGAAGGAGCAGATTAACATTGAGAAGGGTTGAGAGATAGCCCTGTATGGCTCTTTTGCTGACACAACATCATCATTTAGTATCATTCATCTTCAAAGAGGACAACGGTGAACAAATAAGGAACCTTTTACATGTTTTTTTATTTGGTCAGAAACACCAAGTGCAATAACAATCCTTTCTCACTTTTATTTATTAATAATTATAGATAAAAGAGAGAGACCACAGCTAGAGCATAGACTTCTTCATGACATTAGAGAGTTTTTTCAGTATCCACAGGAAGGTAATTCATCATATTAATATATGTCAAAAAAACCCAAAGAGTTGTCCTTTTAGAGACGAAGTTTGGAATAAGAATTTAAAGAGGGCTCAGATTGTCCTTTGTGGTTTAAATGGTCAGGGAACAATTAATAGTTTTTGTTGTTGTTGTTGTGTTATGAACCCCATATCTTTCCATCATGGAAAAGCAACAGGATTGAAGTGATATAACTAGAGGGCTTTGCAAAATGAAATATTCAATATCCTGGAGCACCAATAATGGCACTTGGGAAGAGAAGATATGACAGTTCCATTTCAGGATATGTAATTCTTTCACTCAGGGTTGGGTGACATCGGTTTGTAAAAAGTCACTGAATATCCCCAAACTGACTTTTATAAGACAGTAACAAGTGCCTCCTCAATCCTCAATTATGCCATGGAGTTAGGAAGAGTTAAGGGAAAAAAACATAGTTTTCTGGTTGTGGAAAAGTTGTATGTGTTCAGGATTTATAAACTCTATTTAACATAAAGAATTTATCTTTTTACCTACTCATTTTGGACTTCTTAAATATGTTTTAAAATTGAGACATTTTATAGATTATCTTAAAGACTTAAATCTTAGTGCAGCATATGTTCTATAGAAAGCTTGGCCAATGAATTCTGCCTTATGTTGGATTTAGGACCTCAGGGGCAGTAGATATCCTTTATTTTCCCAACAAAGCTATACCTGACCTGGCAATAGAAGATATCAGTTAGATTAGATACTGCCTGCACAGGAATAAAATGATTTTAATCCACAAAATCAGTGAAAGGCAACATTTTCATATTACAATTCATTTCAAACTATCTTAATTTGATATTCTGTAGAAAAGCACCAGCTAGTAGAAACAGGTAGGATGCCAGTCAGTGTGGTTGCAAAGAATGATGTCGCACAATGTGTGCCCATAACCAGCCTCTTGAGCAACCTGGTATCTGAAGTAGCTACAAAGTCTCATTTATCTAAAGAGCCACAAGTTTCATGGATCAATTTGTATTTTAATAATGATATGTTAGAACATGCAAAATTCAGAAGTGAACACACCATAGCAGATCATGTCTATTACTAACAATAACTAATGAGTAATTTGTTGGCTCTCGTGCTCAATCCCACTTTTAAGCCAGTGACTCCACTATTAAAACTAGGTTTGGCTAATCAAATTTGAAAAAGTGCTCATGGGGCAAGTGCCTTTTCTCCTCTGAGGACTAGCAATGACTATTCATGTTCAAAGTGCTGTTGTCCAGAGTAGCCTTTTAAACATACTAACAGCTCATATTTTGTCAGACAACTTTGTTAACTAGGTTATTATCCACCTCCAATAAAAACCTGTCTCTTTATTTTTTCATACTTTATGTCATTGAAACAAAGAACTTTCTGGGTTTGTAATGGAAAATAGCTATGTTTGTTTTGGGGGAAAAATCTCAAATTTTTCCATCATTTGATAATTTTTGTCTTTGCCCAGTTTTTAAGACATGGAAACAATTTACTGCTCAGCAAACAGACATAAAAAATAAATTGCTGAATATAGCATGTGCAATTTTTCTTTGTATAATAGAACTGGTGCTAATTCATTTTTACATGGTATTTTTGTCTGGTTTGTTTGCTATATACCATCCTGGGACCTAGAAGAAAGTAAGAATACAGGTTTTATGTTGACTTTCTGAACAACCTGTATTTTTTATAGCTTGTGGTAATGCATTCTAGATTTGAGTCAATCTTTTTGTGTAGGCCTTAAATGAGAAAGACAACTTATCCTGTACTTTTCAATCAAGTGGCTTAGTAGAGTGAAATAGAACTGAAATTATTATAACCATATTCTCTTAATTGATGTTATTCTTTGTTGTGCTGTTATTTAAGTGGTGCAAAGTATTTTCTCATATCCTTTTTCTATGTTGTATTAAATAAGGGCCTGAACTTTAAACTTTGTCTTTTTAAATAGGTATTTTCATGTTTTTCCTTGTATGTGCTGCTCATACTGCTGTAAGAAAGCTAAAAAATCTGTCATGTTTTTTTGTTCAGTTTGAATTTCTCAGGTAGAAAGCCATGTAACTTGGTAATTTTGAAAATAGAACCAAATAAATGTATTTTTTATTTGTTGCAAACTGTTTAAAATGTTAATTTTTAAATAAATGTTGATAATTCCACTTTTGGGGGAAGTTTCTACCTGTAGAATACAGCATTGCACTAATGTTGCTCTTTTTCCTCATTTGCATTGTTAGAGAAATAGTGACACATTTAATTTTCATATATATTAAAAATAAAATTGTCATAGTGACTGTTGAGTCTTTGTTCATTTGCCACATGTATTGGCTAGAATATTGAACACTCATAATTAACAGTTTGTCTGAAAACATAGTGACCAATTTTAATATTGTTTTTATGCCAGTTTTCCCTTTATGATGAGTTCATGGGAACTGTGTAGGGCTCATGGTACCAACAACCAGTATTGTTTTCATTTTGGATAAATCAAAATCATGTTTGATTTGTAATTATCCCTCCTTCAGTACACTTTTTATCAGTCCTATTAAGAGGTAGCAGAATTGAGTATGAAATTTCATCTTATCCCCTCAGCACTGGGTGGAAGTGTCAAAGTTTATCAATACAAAAAAATAACTGGGTATGGGATGGGGATTCTAGTAGAGAAGCTAGATTCCTGATAATCAGTCTTTGATCATTTAAGAGTTAACTATATTTGTACTTGAAATACACAACAAACTGCCTTGAGGTATTACGTAATTAAGACAGACTGTACCTTCAAATCTGGGCACTTGTGTGGTTAAAAGAACTCTTCCTGAAACAGCAAGGAATAGTGGATGCTTGTTCTGGATAGCAAATTTGCATAAATTTGGCCCTCAGAGGTAAAGAGAATGTTACATTCTACAGAGAAGCCAGATAGGGAGATACAGAAAACTTAGCCAATGCTTGCTTTGAAACACAGATACAGAAAACATGTAACCTATGCTGCTTGTAAACCACAGATATAGAAAATATGTAACCAATGCTGCTTGAGATCCAATTCTGCACTGAGAACAAAGTGTCTCTGCAGCAGGTAGGGAGCAAACAGAGGTTACCCAGATACCTGCCCTGCTGGATGTATGGAAGTGGTAACAATCACTGCTATCTTTTCTAGAATTACACATTTTCTATACTATGGCATATATAGTATGGACTTGATAAAGGTTTTGACTCAAAATCCTGCCTTATGGTAATATCTCTTGACATGTAATCAACACAATGTTGATTCAGCTCTGAATGAAGGGGAATCAGGGTATTGGGATTGAAGTTTTAATGACATTCTAGATGTTTTCCTCTTGGCATCAGAAAAACCTGCTAAACTGTGTAAACAGAGTAGCCTAATCTACATGTTTAAATGAGATTTAAGGGCTGTGGTTGTGGCTCAGTGGTAGAGTGCTCGCCTAGTACGTGCGAGGCCTTGGGTTCGATCCTCAGCACCACATAAAATAAATAAAAGTTGTGTCCAACTACACTAAAAAAATAAATATTTGTTTTTTTAAAATGAGACTTAAGGCTACAAAGGTGGCCTAACTTCTCTCCCTCCACAGTTTCTCCAAAGCCGAAGATGCAGTAAGGCACCTGACATAAAATAAGCATTTGAATATTTCTTGGATAAAATAGTGTGGGGGAAAAAGCACATTTTAAAAATATTCATGCACTGTTACAGTTAATAATATTACTCCTAATAAACCTGCTACAGACTTCAGTTAAGAAAGTTCGGACTCAAAAACAATTCAATATTTCTTTTTCTTTGGTACCTGAGATTGAATCCAGGGGTATTTAACCACTGAACAACATCCCCAGCTCCCCTCTTTTTAAATTTTGAAACAGTTTCACTAAATTACTGAGGGTGGCCTGGGACTTGTGATTCTCCTGCCTTAGCCTTCTGAGTCACTAGAATTACAGGTGTGTGCCACTATCTCTGGCTCAATTCACAATTTCTTAAGACAAGGTGATATTTGTAGTGGAAGGATTATACAAATAAAAAAATCTGCACTCAAAAGTGAAACTGAATTTTAAACTAAAGTAAAATGACTAAATCTAGTTTCTTTCTTTTTTGGTGCTTAACCACTGAGCCACATCCCCAGTCCATTTTTGTTTCATTTGAGAGTCTTGCTGAGTTGCTTAGGGCCTTGCTAAATTGCTAAAGCTGGTTTTGAACTTGCAATCCTCCTGCCTCAGCCTCCCAAACTGCTGGGAGTATAGGCATGGGCCACCACACCCAGCTCTCAATCTAGTTTCTTAGAATAAGTTTTTAAAAAGTTAAAATGAGCCATCACACTATACAGGGTAAAACCATTTTATTAGCTGACCAAAGCACTTCATTTTGTTTTCTGATTTGAGGTAAAACCATTAAACACAGCTCACAAGAAAATACAATGACTATTTAACTACAATTACAAGAGTTTGAATCCTTACTAGTTGTTCATATAATACTTTTACAAATTCTTACAACTGTAGAGTCTACTTAAGCTAGGTTTAGTGTTAACCAAAAGAGTACTATCTGAGACCTAGATACTTGACTACTACTTTTGCAGTGGCTAGATTTGTAACAACCGAAGGATAACTGTTATTATCTCATGAATACATTTTACTTTAAAAACCACATGGCTAGTGACATGTACTGCTTCTTCATTCTTCAGGACTATGATGAAGACTCTAAGGAGAGCACCCACCTGCTCCTGGTCCGTATGCCTCTCTCACATTGAACATTTTATCAAATAAACAAATAACCATTGCCATGTCATGAACATGGGGACCGGGAGGCCAGCTTTACAATCTTCTTCATGCATTTAGATTTTTGCCCCCTAAAGCTATCTTTTGAATGTTCAGATCCTGTTTTAATCCTAACTGTAGGTTACTGTGTTTGTGAAGGTGTCTGTGTGTCCTGCGAGGGCAAGGACAACAAAGCAGTCCAGAAACACGGTGAATCTTCCTGAATGAGCCCTGTGAGGGAGGTGTTGAGATATCACTTTGTTACTGGATGGCTCTCTTTAATCAATACCCAAACCTTTGGAACACTGCAGATTTGCTTTAGAGGTAGATAAAACAGAAATCATGCAGTTAAGTCAATTGAGTAAAAGGGATTTGTTGTCTTTAGAGAACATGATAAATGTTAATCCTTTGTTCTTGGTGCACATTTAACATTTTTACCTGTTTGGGGAGATACCCACGTCTTACCTGACTCTCAGGAAAACCAAATCTAAATTCAGCTTGTGCTAACTACAGATAGAAGAAAAACTATTAACATTTGTATTATACCACTGTGGTTCACTTTCTGGATTTGTGACACATAAACACATCATGCATTCAAAGACAGAAATTAGTTTTATCAGTGTCACTAGTGATGTTAATTTAAAAATTTACAGCAAGTTCAAAACTTTTCTAAATTTTGAAATCACCATGTTTTAAAGACAGAATGGAATATTACAAATGATTCTGCAAAATACAAAAATAGATATGCTTCCACTGAATGCTTTAATCATTTTTGCGAGCATTCTCATCTTTTGGTTCTTCATCATCTGAGTACACAGTGGGTTCCTCCCCCTCCTTCAGCAGTTTCCCCACGTGATGATACTTGACTGGTGGTAGAGAAGAAAATGCAGATGGTCATTTACATGCTTCATAAAAAAAATTACTACATTTCCTTTTAAAATATTAAGGGCCTATAACATACTCAGCAACATATTAGCGTCCGTGAAGGATACAAAAGTAATTTATACCCCAGTCCTTGCCAACAGGGAATTAGAGTTTTGTTTAAAAGACAGAAGTATGAAACAGGTAGCTATGTCTGACAATGAACGTGCAAAGTAATATCAAAATTAATTGTGTGTGTAGGGAGTGTTTAGAAGAATGAGATCTCATCCATGAGTCAGTCAGAAGGGTTGCAGAGCACTTTCATGCTTTGGAGAATGTGGAGAAGGATTTGGTGAGAGAGTTCCAGAAAATGAAAACATTATGTTCAAAGGCATACAGGTAAGCCTGGACATATCTGGAAAGCAATAAGGAAACCAATTTGCCAGGAGAAGAATTGACATTTGGAAGTAGTAGGAGATAAGTTTGGCCAAACAGTGTGGGGAAATATTATGAAATCCCTTAAGAAGCCAGCCCAAGGAATGTGAACTTAACCTATATGTGGCAAAGGGCATTGAAAGTTCATGAGTAAAGGAATGACACGGCAAAATAACATTTGGCAACAACATCACTGATACAGAGCAGATTTCAATAAGGGGATCCAAGGAGCATGGAGACCAGCATGTGAAGGGACCAGAGCCAGGAATAGGGTGGTATCCATAGGAATGGAAAGGAGAGGATATGAGATACTTTCAAAGAAAACAGGAAACATGAGTTAATGGAGTGAAAACTAAATAGCCCATGGACCAAAATGGGGACTCTGTAGAGGGAGCCACTCTGGTGGAGCACAAAACAGGATATTGTGGGGCGCTGCAGTACAGGCAGGAAGCAGGTCCCTGAAAATCTTTGCAGTGTATAGGGATGACAACATATCAGAAGTTTATTGGACAGTTAAAGGAAAGAATAATGGTTTAGTAGATATACAGGATAGCAAGAGAGAATTTTTTTTCTCCAGCATGAAGAAAAACCTATGAGTAGATAAACGAAGTGGTAAAGGAGCCAGGAGAGGACTGGAGATGTTGGAGACAAAAGATTTTTGAGGGCAAACTAGAGTCAACAAACTACAACATTATTGCAGCCAAATAAATATAGGGTTAATTTCCTCAATGTCAGAAGCCAAAAGGCCCAAATCTCTTTTGGGATATGGGTAGGAATGAGAGGAGAAACCAACCTGTCTAACCAGGTAACTAGAGCTGTTTTTGTGTGAAATAATCATTGGGAACAATTAGAACTTCCCTATTTGAACATAGCATAAAGGTCCCTGGGGTGTTTGGGACTGTGCAAGACAAATAAAAGGCAGGTGGCACCTGGGAAACCTGCCTTAAGGGGGAAATCTACACTAGCTTTGAGTGTAGCTGAGATGTTACAACAGTATTTGAGGTTCATCTCAGTTTAAGGGTAAAAAATCATTTATCTCCAATTGATAAAGGTAAGCCCTAGAAAACAGAACATTAGTTGTTCATATACATACTTTTATAAATTCTTACAACTGTAGAGTCTACTTAAGGTAGGTTTAGTGGTAACCAAAAGTTACAAATTATTCCTTATTATTTTCATATAGAAGACTTTTATCATTATGAAGGCATCCTTGGGATGCAATTTGTGACTATGTTAGGTAGCTGGATTATGTTTTCAAAGTAAATATATTTGCCTCTAGATTTGAAAGCTATATGTGGTCTGCTTGAGATCCAAACTCAATGGTAGAGCTACATCTGGCTAATTATTAATCTAGAACTCTCTGTG